GCCCCCCCCGCCGGGACAGCGGGATGGAGAGGGACATCGACTCCAGACAGTGAAGACGTAACCGTAGCACAGGCCCCGTGAAGGCGTGGGGCGTGGGCGAAAGCACTGGGCGAGTCCTGATCGGCTCAGAAAGGCCTTCCCGAGGGGCCCACTCAGGGGAGGAAACCCAGGGCTCCAGAGAAAGCACCATCTAGGTGACGTAATAAAAATATAAACGCATTCCTCCCCGGGAAGAATCCAGATGCAAAGGAGAAAACAAAGTGGGAAGAGCGTCGATGTAATAGATTGGCGAAGGCTAATGTCTTAATCCACAGAAAGAGCGAGATGTTACTCCTCGAGAGGGTATCTTTCCGTGGGTTTTTAGAGAGAGTGGAAGGGAAGGGGAGAGACAGAGAGACACAGCGATGGTTGCCTCCTGCACGTGCCCGACCCAGAGCCAGCAGTCAAGCCTAGGAACGTGCCCTTGACCAGAATGACTGGAATCGAACCCGAGACCCTGCAGTCCGTGGGCCGACGCTCTCACCCCTGAACGGGGCCAGGGCGATGCCTCACAGTGATGGTTCTTACTCTGGGAGCAGCTCTGCTTTGTCAGTGTGATAACTACGGCCCCAACAGCAGGTACATAAATCGATAAAGAAACAAGTGAAGGACTCGCACCTCGGCCGATAAACTGGCAGAAGAACGAACAGAGCCGACGGGAAAGGATTCCAGCGCTTTTCTTACAGATCACTGTCCGCACGCGCATTGAATGGAAGATGTGAGACCGTCCCTTTAGGACTAAATCCCGGTTGGATTTTTAACCTCGTCCGTGGGCCAGAACTGACAAGTCCTTGTGGGTGGGGTGCCCTGTGAGGGGAGCCAGGCACGTGGAGAGCTGCCTGCGCAGGTGCCAGGCAGACCCGTTGGTGATGACAGGCTGGACCCAATCCCGTGTCCATCCGCCGGTCAGCGAGGTAAGTGGGCAGAAGCACACGAGGGGCTATAAGGCAGCCCATCCATCAGCAAAACCCAGCCTCACCAAACCCAACCAAACCAAACCCGACCCAACCTCACCAAACCCAGCCTCATCAAACCCAACCCAACCAAACCCAACCAAATCAAACCCAGCCTCATCAAACCCAGCCTCACCAAACCCAACCAACCCCAACCAACCCCAACCCAACCCAACCAAACCCAACCAAACCCAACCAAACCAAACCCCACCAAACCCAACGTCGCCACGGGGCCCGAAAAAAGTCAGTAAACTTCAAATGAGTCAAACCATACGAGTATGTTCTCTGACCATAACGGAATAAACTAGAAATGAATAACAAAAAGATAACTGGAAAATCCCCCAAATAATTGGAAATTAAGCAACACGCTTCTAAACAACCCAGGGGTCAAAGAAGTCACAGGAAGATTAGGAAGTACAGGTAACCCTTGAGCAACGTGTGTCATTAAAACATCTGAGTATAAAAGAAAAAAATAAAAGAAAGAGAAAAAAATCAGAATATAACTTTCGACTTCCCCAAAACGTAACTACCAATAGCCGACTGTTGACTGGAAGTCTTACTGAGCACATAAATGGTCAATTAACACACATTCTGTATGTTACGCACATTACATTGTATCCTTACAATAAAGTAAGCAAGGGAAGAAAATGTTATTAAGGAAAATCGTAGGGAGAGAAAATACATAATTATTGCAAAAAGTCCACGTGTAAGTGCACTCACACAGTTCAAACCCATTTCTTTCACGGGTCAACGGTATTTCGGGCTGAGTATAATGAAAGCGCGCACACCCAAGCTTAGGGTGCAGCTTACGTCGCTCTTGACGGGCTGGGCGACTATGTCAGCAAAGAAGGAAGACTTCACATCAAAGGCTGAAGCATTCTCCTCAGAAAGAGAAAACCACAAATAAAACCCCAAAGTCAGTGGAGGAAGAGAATGAAGAGCGAAACTAACACGCTCGTAAACAGAAGGAGGATGGAGGAGAACCAACTAGCCCAGAACTTGTTCTGGAAGGTGAATGAGACTGACAATCCCCTAGCAAGACTGATCAAGAAAGAAAAGAGAGAGAGAGAAATGGTCAGCGACGATGAGGACAGAGGGGACATCACTACAGACAGGAAAGTAAACTCATTGTCAAAACCTCCCGCCCTGACTGGTTTGGCTCAGTGGATAGAGCGTTGGCCTGCAGACCAAAGGGTCCCGGGTTTGATTCGGCTCAAGGGCATGTAAAAAAAACAAGAAAAGAAAGAAGAGAAGAAAAGAGAAGAGAAGAGAAGAGCCATCCCACAAAGCAAGCCCCGTCCTCAGAGGGAAAAAGAGAAGAGAAGAGAAGAAGAGAGAAGAGAAGAAAAGAGCCATCCCACAAAGCAAGCCCCGTCCTCAGAGGGTCTCGCCGGCTAACTGACCCTCACAAGCATTGAGGGAAGAAGTCATAACAACCTTTCCTCACCTCTTTCTGAAAATACCTCCCCACTCCACGTATTGATTTTTTTTTTATTGTGAGAGGACAGTTACTAAAGCTGGGGACAGTGAGACACGGAAGGGCCCGAGATAGAAGAAGCAACAGGAGAGAGCGTAGGCTGGGCCTCCTTGGTTCTCCGGAAACGTCACGGGAAAGAAGTGAGTCGAGGGGGCTGCTATGGCTCACTGGGAAGTCAGAGAAAAGGGGGGCCCTGGAGACAGGCCCAGGGGGTGAGCCTGGGACGAGCCGCCACTGCCCATTGCTCCCCAGGTTGCAAGTCTCGGGATACGCATGCCCCGTGGGGGAAGGAAGGTGTGGGAGGGGAGCACCCCCCTTTCTCTATGTGGCCAGCATCACCCTGACACCAAAACCTGCCAGGAAAAGAAAATTACAGACCAATATCTCTAACCAACATCGACGCAAAAAGGAACCCTTCACGCAGCGTTGGCAAGTTAGGACACACACAGGTAAAAAGGGTGACAGTGTGAATAAGGAGGTTTACTCCAGAAACGCAAGGTTGGCTCAATAGTCATGAAAACCCAAACAGTGTGATTCCGAAAAGGCATCTGATACCATTCAACCACCTTTCAGGAAGGCAAGGCACGTCCTCCCTCCACAAGGGGCGGCTACGAAACACGCAGCGTGTGTGACGGGGAATGTCAACGGCCGTCTTCTGAGACGGGGCGCCAGGCCGGGATTCTATCAAGTGTTGTCTGGCTGGGGGCGGGGGGGGGGGCTCCTGGCCAGGGCGATCAAGTAGGAAAAATAAAGAGGCTGCAATAAGAAATTAAGTACCGCCTTTCTTTCCAGACACATGGATGTGCACCCCGGAAACCCAATGCACTCACAAGCCAAACCCCCGGGAAGGAATCAAGGGCCCTGGCCCGCTGGGCGAATGGTTAGAGTGTCAGCCGGTGCACCTGAGGGTCGCCGGTTTGATTCCTGGTCAAGGGCACTTAGCTCGGTTGCAGGTTTGATCCCTGGCCCGTTGGGGTGTGTACAGAAGGCAGCCAATCCATGTGTCTCCCTCACATCGATGTTTCTCTCTCTCTCTCCCCGCCCCTCCCGCCCTTCTATTCTATCTAAAATCAATGGAAAAATATTCTTAGGTGAGGATTAACAACAACAACAACAAAATCAAGGAATTCAGCCAGAACTTGGGGCACTTGGTTACTTTAAAGAAATTCAATTGCTTTTCTCCAGGCTAGCAACAGACAGTTGGAAAATGGAAATTTTAAAAGAATAAATACCATTTATAACAGCACATAAAAACCAAATACCCAAGTATTTCAACCAAAGATACAGAATGCGAGAACTCGACCACGAACGCCGGAGAGACTGCGGGAAACCCAAGGCCGGCTCGCCGCGAAGACGCCGGCGCTCCCTACATCCATCCACATGCCCATCAAAACCCTGCCAGGCGTTCTGGGGGCAGAACTAGACAATTTGATTCTACAGTGTCAATCCAAGTCCAGAGAACTGAGAACAGTCAGGAAATTTTTGAAGAAAAAGAACTAAGTTGGAGAACTCCCACTGCCTGATTTCAAGACGATAAAACTACGACGAGTGAAAAAATGCCGGAGTCCGGGAATAGGCCCATCCATATCCGATTCATCGGTTTTTTACGAAGACACCAACGCGGGAAAGGGCGTCTTTTAAACATAACCGCACGTTCCTAAGGGGGACAATGAGCCTGGAGGCCCAGACTCAAAAGTGAAGGTAAGCGCTGGCCGCTTTGGCTCCCTGGATAGAGCGTCGGCCTGTGGGCTGAAGGGTCCCAGGTTCAATTCCAGACAAGGGCACAGGCCCAAGTTTCGGGCTTGATCCCCAGGAGGGGGCGTGAAGGAAGCAGCCAATCAATGATTCTCATCATTGATGTTTCTCTCTCTCTCCCTCCCCCTTCCTCTCTCTGAAATCAATAAAGCTATGTTTAAAACAACAACAACAAAACACTAGTTAAAAAAAAGTGAAGTTAGCCCTGGCCAGTTTGGCTCCGTGGATAGAACGTCGGCCTGCTGACTGTAGGGTCCCGGGTTTGATACAGGTCAAGGGCACATGCCCGGGTTGAGGCTCAGTCCCCAGTAGGGGGCGTGCAGGAGGCAGCCGATCCATGATTCTCATCATTGATGTTTCTCTCTCTCTCCCTCTCCCCTCCTCTCTGAAATCAATAAAAACATATTTAAAAACAAACAAACAAATAAATAAATAAGTGAAGTGAAAAGTGACATTAGCCCATGGCCCTGGCGGGTGTGGCTCAGCTGGTCGAGCGTCCTCCCGAGAACCAGCGGTCACAGGCTGAGTTCCCGGGAGGGCACGTTCGGGCTCCATCCCCAGAAGGGGGCGTGCAGGAGGCCGCCGATGGCTATTTCTCACACTGATGTTTCTCTCCGCCCCCCAGTTTGGCTCCGTGGATAGAACGTCGGCCTGCTGACTGTAGGGTCCCGGGTTTGATACAGGTCAAGGGCACATGCCCGGGTTGAGGCTCAGTCCCCAGTAGGGGGCGTGCAGGAGGCAGCCGATCCATGATTCTCCCTCATCATGGATGTTTCTCTCTCTCTCCCTCTCCCTTCCTCTCTGAAATCAATAAAAATATATTTTTAAAAAAATGATTTTTCTAGGAGAGTAATCATTACAGATGAAAAAATTAAAATAAAAAACTGAAACGGCTCACAGACCGAAACCTGAAAGCCTAAAGCACAAAGCGTCTGGCAAGGCCAGAAGAAACCTCCAGCGCCTCGGGCCCAGCAGTGCCGACCACCACACCTCAACTACAAACGAAGAGACAGACGGGATCGGTGCCGTCACAGCGAAGCCTTTCCGTGC